TGTTAGAGAAATTGAAGCACCACCTGTAAGATGAATAGGCATGCTTAAATTATAGCAAAAATAGGCAGCAATTCTTATGGAGAAGTAAAGGATGAGATTTAAAAGAAAAACATGCCTGGATTCATGATTGGAGCAAAATGCTTAAGTAAAGAAACAAAGGAGTAACTAGATGCAGAGAGAACTGCAAGATATCCATTCCTTGATGTCTCTAAAAGGGGCTTGCTTACCTGTGGTTAATGTTAAATGCATATTAGTACCATAGCATCTCAGTGAAAGCAACATTTAAGCATAGAAGTTAAGCACACTACACCTCTCTTCCATTTGCAAGTGAATGAATGAGGATGTCAATGCTGCCAAAATCCTTTTTCACAGATTCAACAACCTCCTGTGAGATATTAATACCAACAAGTCAGCATATGGTTCTGATCCCTGACAATATCTGCTTGGGAGAGAGAACATAAACAGTAAACATCAACTTTTCCAACTAAGAAGAGCCAAGAAAACAAACATTTTGCACTTGAAGGTTACATATAATGATATGTGGGGGTTTGACTAAAATATTATTCTATAATTATAGCAACATACCTGTACTGTCCAATTTGAAGATCCTGAATACCTTTTATTTGTTTTTACCTGCATAAGATCACAGAGAATATTAATGATGTTATAAACCTAATATTTCAATTTCTAGGAAGTTATAGATGAAAATCTTACATCTTCAGGGACATCCTCAGGGCAGTCGTAAACTGCATCCATGGGATAAACTTTGGTAATTTCCATTAAAGAACCATCAGGCAATCTGGAAAAACTTAAGACCAATTAGCAAGGAACATAACAGACAAGGGCAGTTCAACAAACATTAATCTGTTTTGCAATTCTTACACTCGTGATTCATCAAATTTCCCACATCTTAGACTGCTCTCAAAAATGTTAAGTGCCTGCCAAGAGAAATCTATCATAAGAAACTAAATAATGTTGATAATCTCCTGAACTACAAAACGAATGTGTTATATTAATTTATGTACCGGCACCCATGTCCCAACAAGAATCTCAGCTCCTGCAGCTGCAAGCGACTTTGCTATTGCCCAACCATATCCATCATCATCAGCAACACCAGCTATAAAAGCTCTCTTACCTGCCAACAGATGTTGCATGTTATATGCTGCAGGACTTTTGTTCATACATGACATATAATTATCAACTGACTGACAATCAAAGAATTTTTACCACTATAGCTGTTTCTTTCCTAGCAGTCTTTCAACACTTTGCACATTTATGCAGTAGAAATCATATGATTTTACAGCCATATGATGTTCCCTTGCAGATAAAGTTTCATTTACATTTAAAAAAAGAGGCAACTTTAATTCCTTATCATATCAATATAAACTAGAGAAGACATAAACCTAGAAAAAGCAACTACCACAACCATGAAACGGGATCTAATAAAGATAAAATGCATAAGGACTGGCAGGCTTAAAAACAGTCTGAAGAATATAATTAAATGAATGAAAAGGCTGTATGACCTCTCAAATCAATAGGCAGTCCTGGCAAAGGATTCTCGTCATTTGCTGCAGAAGCTGCTCTTACAACAGCCTTTTCAAATTTCCTGGACCCTGATGTGAAAACCTGGAAGAAGGGCTGCCTTGATGAGATGTTGGAGGAGCTTTTAAGCCTCATCCAAGATGCCTCCTTATGCTCAGGACTGAAGTCTGCTGTGTTTGGAAAAAGTGTTTTACGAGAAGCGGAAATAGAAGGGCTAATTGTTGCCATGTATGAGCCAGGCCTTGCAACTGTATCATCCTTAATCTCATTATTAAGTATTAAGTTGTGCTGATGACTAAAGTGTTTAATCTCAGTGGCACTTACATCCTGATCTCCACGACTCCTGTCCTCTAAATCACCAGTAATAGAAGCCCATTCATCCGATGGCATTTTCAAGGCTTCATTGGACTTCTTACTTTCATGTTTCACCTCAAAGTACTCCTTGTCCCGCAAGTTTTTTGCCGTTGCACAATTCACATGAACTAAGTAATCACATTGTAGACAGTGGTGACTCCCATATTCCATATTAATTTCATCCCGACAAATTCTACACATATTGTTTTTTCCCTCATAGTTTGCAAGGAAATAAATATGGAAAATTGGATGCTTATGCCTTGTTATCTTGATCTTCTGTGGGAGTGAAATGTAATCCTTATGAACTGCAATGTCACATTCAGTGCATACATAAGGAAAGCAGTACTCTCCATCAGTACCACAAGCATTACAAACGAAAGAGAATGGTTTTGATACAAGGATAAATGGATGCCCATGATTCAAACTTTTGATCACTTTATGATCGGAGAAAGTATACTTGATCATAATGCCAAACTCACAAAGAGAACAACAATAAATGAATCCCTTGTAAGCTTTGGCGCATAAATGGCAAGAAAATTTCTTTGAATGAGGTGGAGGGTTGGGTAGAAGACTAAGAGAGTGTTTGCGGTGACTAGGGTGTTCGATCTCAGGGCGTAACTCAAAGCATTTCTGATGAAGGAAAAACTGGCAATCGAAACAACAGTAAACAGGACTTGATATCGGCTCCTCACATGCAAAGCAAGATCGATCTTGGGTTTTAATATAGTGGTTTTGAATGAAGAAGAGTGAATGTTGATGGCTAGAATGTTTCAGCTTTGGAAAATCTCCAGAAATCAAGTTTGGAAGCAAAGCAAATCTAAGGTCAAGGTCAAAGTCACAAGAAGAACATCGGTAAACAAATAATTCCTCACCTGATTTGTATCTTTTTCTACAGGAATTGCATCGATAAAAACGGTGGATTTCTGGTCGCTTCTCATAAAGAATGAGGGGATGGCTCGTGTGAAAGGGATGATTGATCTCCCTTGGTAGCTCAGCACAAGACTTGTGAAGACAAAAGTCACACTCTGGGCAGGTGTAGCTGGAACCCTCTACCCGTTCCTGACATGCTTAGCAGTAATAAATTATGGTAATCCAATCCGTCTCCTCTTCCACAAGCCCCAAAGGATGGGGATGACTAAAATGATTAAGCCTCATCTGGAAGAAACTGACTCAATGAATTATGCTTTTAGTTCGAGTTGAAGGAGATAAGACTGCAGCTAAAAAGGAAGATGATTTTCATTTTCCCCTGTTCGTCCTCAATGATTGCTACCTAACTTTCAGAGTGGCCCCTGGAACTGATGTAACTAGGGGTGAGCATGGTAAGTATGGGTCAGGTATTGGCGTATATATGCATTTATTATTTTTTTTTTGAACATATTATGCAAGTTGGAGGGTTTCTAACCCAGCCCGGGAAAGGGGAAATGCACCAGGATAGCTATTGCCACTAGGCCTCAAGGGTCAGGTGCGTATATATGTATTTATTTAAATAGTAATAAGTATAAGATTTTGATACTTAGTATATATTTGGTATTAAAAATTTATATTCGTTATTTAATTTATTGGGTATAGATATACTTATAAGTATATTTGTATATTTATTAAATTTTACATTGAAAATACATTAATTAATATATAACTATAAGTTTATATATAATGTAAGTTTATATATAAAACAAAATATATGAGTGTATATATTCATACATATATAAGTATATACACAATAATAAAAGAAATATAAACAAAAATCCACATGATTTTTTTTCAATTAAATTTTTACTGCTAGAAGAAAAGAGAAAAAAAAAAACATAAACATTTTGATTTCATAACATTATATGAAAAATTAAGTATATAAACTAGAATATAAGTCAAGTATTCGAATCATATATCTACATCAGGTATATAGGTTAGATATACAGATGTTCACCCCCATACTCAATTATTACCCAATACTTAACAAATATATATTTTCATACCTAATATTTACTTGTTTCTTTACCGATACAGATAAAATATCTTTGTAAACAAATCAGGTACCCACCAATATTAGATATACCCGTATCCGAAGCTTAGCCCTAAATGTAACGGCCGAAGTAAATTTCGTAACCTCTCTATGACCCAGGAAGTTAAAAGTTTCTCCCTACATGGCCCAAGATCTACCTTCTTGGGCCTTGGACCTGAACTAAAAGCCCACACTATAGGAAACAAACGATTCATAAAGCTCCTTGACGCTTTTTAAAGCCTAAAGAGCGTGTGGTTTAACTTGGAAACAGCTCGTGAATTTTAATTAAATAAATTAAATATTTTAAATTATAAATATTAATAATTGTTAATAATTAGACATTAATTAT